CCCCCCCCTCCCTCCACCACCCCACCCTCTAGTGATTCTTATGATATAAAGCTGCGCTTGCACCAGCGTTTCTCAGGTAATTACGCATAGCCACTTCCGATTGACACAAATCCGAGCTTCGTAGATAAAGCATACTAATGTCTAGTTCTCGTCAATTATATTTGTACAGAAAGGTCTTTGATATAGTTCAGACCAATAAAAACCAAATACTAAGCGCTCCAAAGGGTAAGGATATTAACACTTTTCTACTATCCTACTAGAACCAGAGCAATGTTTTACTAGACAATAATACCAAATATGCTTTTGTAAAGAGATACACTCAGGCAAGGGATATACTACTGGTAGTTATGGGCTGCTTTATCCCTGTACAAAAAGCGTGGAGTAAATGTAAATACAAACTTATGTCTGGTCACACAAGTAGGCCAATCATAACTTAGTATTTACGTTTACTCCACTCTATTTGGAGAGGGATACGGCAGTCCAAAACCTGTAATTTTTCATTCTTAATGGCACGAGCGCCTCCCGACTGCCGACCTGGCTTGCCCAGGTGCAATAGGAGATGGAAGAAGAAGCACATCCTATCTTCGTACTCTGCAGCGACAAAGGAAGGTTTTCGTCGAGTGCATCAGTCTCCATCGCAACATTCGCTTTAAGATCAATTGAGGAATTGCACGGCGGGGTTAAGAATGATTTTTGCCTACTGCCGTGCCGAGAACGCGTGATCACTACTATTATTTTGAGGACATACAAAAAGTAAGGTAAAGAAAAATGCCACTGTGTGGAGCGATGGCGATGGCACTCAGCGTGGCGCTTGCATGTCATGCATGGCACTTATTGTCATTTACTTTATTTTAGTATTTAGTCCTGGAAAAAGCTTAGCCAATAGGCTCACTACATTTTATGCCATAGCATAATAGTCACCGTTTGGGGCTGGCCTGAATGGGCAAGTAGTGTTGATGCAATTGGAGTCCGAAATTGATCCCGAACGCTTGCAAAGTCGCTCATGCACTTAAGACAGAAAACTTTGCAATAAAGTTTCACGCTAGAATTGTTTGGAACTGCACTCTCTCTTTGGGACAGCGGTTAACAACGACAGCGTTCCAACGGTATACGAGACGTTTTCTATGTCACGGTATCGTGTGCTGGCAGCTCTTGTTAAGGACGATGTAATATAAACTCAAATGTCACTATAGCATTGTGAATGGCAGTGATGTGTCATCAAACCTATCTACGTCGCTCAACAAAACGCCATCTTCTTACTGTGAGCGACAACTTCTACACGCGGCGCAACTTAGCGAAAGAAGATAGCGAAGTTCGAATGCTTGAAACTATGCGAAAGGACCGAATCAGTCGCCTCAACGAGGGCGCAACTTTGGCGCCGTGACACGTATTGCCCAAAAAGAGCGAGGGTCTTGGGTGTTAATTGCGGCTGCCAAGAGCACATTGGGTTTGAAAAAGACAAAAGCCTCTCGCAACCAAGCGAAAAAAAAATGCACCTCCAGACAGCATATACACCGCACGTTCAGTTTTCCGATTGGGCTGGTTTGTACTTCTCTGGACCATATTTCTATGCAGTAAAACCCTTTTCAAGGCTAGCACCAAATCTACTCGTTCGTTGCAGGGGCTCTCGGTGTCTAAATAAAGCGCACAGTTACGGCCTTCACCCTATATTTTTATACGTGGTTAACGGAGACTGCTGATAACACAGCGAGTTTGACAAGAGATTCTGGAGGTAGTCGCCTTTGACGCCGTAATTCACTCAATTTTAGGAAGTGCGAGGTAAAAACGGTATGTACCTCTTCCCCTATGTATTGGCGGTGCGCTCGACTCAGTTTAGTGCCAACAGAAGGCGTTTTAAAAGCTAAAGGGCACGCTTTACCAGCAGGTTTTTGGCCTTGTTACACTGAAACCTCACACAAATCCGTTAAATAGTGCTAAATTTTCTTCCAATAATGTTATAGATGATTCAAATCCTAAGATTTAGTAATGATTACACTACAATTTAGGCTAAGAGTAATCAAGTCGCGAAAAAATCCGTATTCTACGGCAGCTTCTTCAATCGGCAGCGACCTTGGCATCGACGATCCGTGAATGTGAGCTCTGCTGACCCGTGGTAGTTTGTAGTTGTTACCGCCTTCGTGAGCAATAATAGTTTGCATCACCTTTTGAAGCGTAAGAAAGCACTTGTCAATTGTTGCAGGTGGAAGTTGATCAAACGATCTCTCCACTGTAACAATTAGGTTGTCTAAATTGGTAGACTTTAGTTTCAGCTGTAATGACTGCAACGAGTTAAAAATACCAAGATCTAAAGCATTCAGATCTGGTGAGCGAGGTGGTTGGCTCATCATCTCAATATTCCAGCCGCCTATCTCTCCAGCGGCCACAATATCATGGTCAAAAACAGATACG